TTTTTTATTCTAAATTTAAGTAGCTTTAAATTTTTGTATAAAGAAGGTAAATGATAGATTACCCACTCATTGCCAACAAAGCTAAAGATTAAAGGTGCTACAGTTCAAGAAATATTTCTATTGACAAAAATTATTTTAAGTCAAATCAAAATTGTCATATTAGAATAAATCACCCCAAATAACATATTACTAGTTTCTTAACAAAAACTGCATTTCATTTTCATTTCGCCTTTAATTTTAGGGACTGATAATTGTGCTTATTCTGCTTTCACTGTCAGTGGCATGCTGCATTCATTCATTATATAGGTTACTTTTCTCAACTTAAAATGGATTACCATTACCCACTTGAAAAACTTGGAGATCATATGGCACAACAAACTATATGCAAATTCATTTAGTAAATTAAGAAAGTTATCTGACGTAATTTTTTATTATATTGCTAATGGATTGGAATTTTTTAAGTTTATTAACAAATTTTTTCTTTTTAATTTTTTAATTTTTTACCATGTTTTTTAATTAATACTTTTCTTATTAGTTTTAACTTCATTTTTTCTCAATAACTTTAAAATTATTCTACTTTTATTTTACATTAACTTATTATAAAAAATTATATTAGCTTAATAAATAAAATTTGTTAATTAGATGAAATAATTAAAATTTTGAGTTTTTTTATTTAAAAATAATATAATTTTTTTCTTTGTTAAAAATAAGAGTGTAATTTACTATTTTTTATTTCATTTATTTTCTTCTTCTTATTATTTTTATAAAATTAATAAGTTTAATAATGAAAAAAATATAAAAAGAATAAATATAGTTAATTACTTTTAAATATACCTTTATTAGTAATTTAATATCAAATAATAATTGTCAATTATTATATAACTAAACAATTATATTAATTATAATTTATCGTATATTATCCACTATCCACTTTTTACTTTTCAATATTCGCCATCCACTACATGTTACCTTTTTTTTTTTTATTACTCATTGTACACCATATGTTAAAATTTAATTCTTATACCAAATGGGTTCTAAATCAAGCGAGAAAATATAATATGGAAATCAATGAGTAAGAAGAGGAACCTATTCTATTTATAGAGGTTTCAATTCATGATGCCCATGCCTTCTCTAAGCGCTTTTTCTTATTTTGATTAGGAGTTGTATTCGCTACTTTCAAACTCCTTTTGGCTTAGGGGTGATCAATACAAGATTCCCTTTAGGAACACCTAACCAACTTGAAGAACTATACCCCAAGTGTAAGAAGTCCATCAAGGACTAAATCCCAAATCCAAGATGTTTAACCATTTCACAATTTTAGATAAAGGATAAAATTAATTTCTCATTATTTATAATTCTTTTGAAGCAGTGTAATAAAAAATGACTTTTTAATTTTGTATATATTAAAAAGAGAATAATGTAGGATAAGTCATTCTTTTAAAAATTTTTTTAGAGGATTTGTCTAAATATCTACTTTCTAATTATTATCTTTAAAAACTAACCATTGGATTAAAAGTTTATTCATGTAAATTATGCATATTAATTTTTATATTGATCCAACATTTATAACTTTTTGATATAAGCAATTCTATTTATTGATATATATTTGATAGTGATAAATTTTTTTGTAGTTAATGAAGAGGTTAAGCTTACTAAATTAACATGAAAATTTACATATATGATTTATATAAATAAAATTTTCAATTTAACAGTTAATTTTTAAAAATATAAATAAAAAATGAGCTTTTAAATATATTCTCAAAAAAATTCAAGAAAACAATCTATAAAATACTTTTTTCTATTAATTTAATACTAGATAAATATAATACTTCTCTTTAATTTGCATTACTTTTATTTTAGTTGTACCTAAACTCCATGGCTTCTAACACAGTATCATCCTATTTCTATATCTATAACCAAAATCATGAAATTTAATCAGAAGAAGAATTGTATGTTGTGCAGGTTGCATTTCCGAACCTACAGGGGTTGGAAGTGTCTTGGATTAATGTTAACACCATATGGCATGCTTCAATAACATCTTCTCATGTTGCAAAACTGACGAAGTTGGTCATCGAGGGCTGTGGTAATTTGAAATATCTATTCCCATCTTCCATAGCGTTGGGCCTTGTGCAACTCTATAGTCTGAAAGTCACAAACTGTGCCAAGATGGAGCAAGTGATCACAGGAGAAGGAGCTGAGGACCTGTTTCCTAAGCTATTCACTATTATTTTAGAGTCTTGTCCCAAATTGAAATGTTTCTATGAGGGAAGTAGTCGGCTTGAGTTTCCACGGTTGCACAAAATTACTGTCGTTAACTGTCCAGCTTTGGCTGCTTTGGCTGCTTCATTTTCAAGTGACCATAAGAAAGAGATAACAACTAATGACATAGAAAGTGAAGAAAGGCCTGTCATCCTTACTCAACCTTTCTTCAGTGATAAGGTCAGTTATTTCACAAAAATTATTTTATTTTACTTTTACAGTGTAATTGTTTCTTCAGTATCGATGCTGCTATTATCTCCACGTAATTACCTCTATAGATATATCAATTACCTTAAACAATTGTGCCTAAAAGAACCATAATTGCAGCAAATTCACAGTAACAACCAATAATAGAAGGTTCTCAAAAACTATTATTATAAAATGAATTAGATGCTTCATAACTTATATAATTTTTCCCTTAATATTCGAAGAAATTAAACATCTCCATCATCCAAATTGTGTTTAAAAATTTTTCACTTATGTTAGACTTAATTCGGGTGTAAATATAGTTTGCTTATTCTTCATAAATGATATCATAATTAATTTTCTTAATCAATTGAAATGGTAGATATTTAGTTTTCTTAATTATATAAAATAAATTATATATACACAATAGGATTGTTTGAACTGTATTCTATTCATTAGGAGTAATAACCAATTTGAATTACCTATTATTACTAGTACATTAATTAAATACAAAAATGATTAATTATTAACTATGATGTTGAACAGGTAAATCTCTTTACTTATTGTGCTTAAAAATTCATCACTTAAATGTAAAAGTAAAATTACTCAATTTAAGAAAAATAATTAATTGGACAGTGTTTAACTATCCTGAACAAAGTTACTGCCATCGTTCATTCTAAATGTCTGTGTGCCATTTCTCATGTTTTTGCTTTGGGATTGTCGTTACATTGTTTCTTTGGATTAAGAAGAAATTCTTCACGAAAAGAATGATCTTTTTCTGATAAGGCCTTTTAATTTGGAGTTTTTGATGTTGTTTTTAAGTAAAGTTGCATTGGCCTTCTGATGAAAGGTTTGCTTTTGTTCATCTTCTAACCTCCTCTGCTGGTCAGTCTCAAAGCACAAAGAACAAAATTTAGACATCGATCTGGATAAACAACAACTCACCTTGCCTTTTGTTTACATAAATGATCTCCTTCCAGTCAATTTGAGAACCATATTGACAAACTTGTCCTTCCCTTTAAATAACCTTTCATTCTTGTATATCCACACAATCCAAGTTATAATAGTACAGTAAAGACCAAACTTCCCTTGTAGATATGCTTACCACCCCAAAATTGACTAATCATATAACTGGATTATACTCCGTGGAAATATATGAAGCTAAAACCCTACCAATAATAGTTCCAACCCCTATTGCGGAATACATTGATCAACTCCTCCAACTCTACCATTTTTAACATGATCAACCATCCTTTTTCTCATCCATCAACAAAATGATAAGCTTTTTCTACAAAATGAACTCTATGTTGTGCAGGTTGTGTTACCAAACCTAGAGGAGCTGCAATTACGCTGGATGAATGTTAACATCAAATGGCACACTTCAATAACATATTTATGTGTGGAGAAACTAAAGAAATTGATCATTCAAGGCTGTGACAATTTGGAGTACTTATTCTCATCTTCTATAGCTAGAGGTCTAGTGATGCTAGGTCAAGTTAAAATAAGGGAATGCAAGAGGATGAGAGAGATTATTGTTACAGATAATGCAGAAGAAACAGAGAATTTAATTTTTCCTGAATTGAACTTCCTATTGCTAGAAGACCTCCCAAACATTGTTAGATTCTACTCAGGCAATTGTATTGTTGAATTCCCATCCTTGAAAGAACTGTAAGTATTGAATTGCCCAGAGTTGGAAGGATTCATCGTTAAATATTTTGCAAGCACAAATGTCATTGTTGACAAACAACCACTCTTCAATGAACAGGTAAATTTTACTCATTTCACTTGCATTTTGTTTTCACATTAATATAAGGAACTAATCTAAATGTGGCATGATGCATTCATTATGTAGGTTGCTTTTCCCAACTTGAAAAGTCTGACTCTCACCCACTTGAAAAACTTGGATATCATATGGCACAATGAATTCCATGCAGATTCCTTTGGCAAACTAAAATCATTAACGGTTAGAAATTGTGAGAAGTTATCCACTATTTTTCCATCTGCTGATATGCTGGGAAGAATATGGAAATCCCTAAAGAAGTTAATTATAGCTTTTTGTGGCTCGCTAGAACGGATATTTGAAATTGGTGAGTTCAATGGCAAACAAACACATGCTATAATAGACACCAAGTTGAGAGAATTGAATATTCATGATCTACCAAGATTGAAGTATGTGTGGAATAAGGATCCCCAAGGGATACTCACTTTCCACAGCTTGGAATTAGTAGTTATAGAACGTTGTGACAGACTCAAATTTTTGTTTCCA